GCAGCAGGGAAGTGCTTGTTACGTTGTATAGTATTTGGGATTTTGGCTTTATAGACGTTGCTGCTTTAACTGACTGATAAGACGTCTGTGTTTATGTATAAAGCCAGGAACAATTTATTACCTGGTGGAATTCAAAAACTATTTAATGAAAGGGAAGGGGGATACAATTTAAGGGGTCAGTTAAATTTAAAAATTCATGCTATACGTACAACCAAAAAAAGATTTTGTATTTCCATAAGTGGGGTAAAACTATGGAATAATTTAAGTGTAGACATAAAAAATAGTAATAGAATTGATGAGTTTAAACATAAATATAAAGGTATGTGTCAATCAAGATATATGCAAGAACAGGCTTAATGATTAATTAGATGGAACATTGTGGGTGTGGTGTATGAATGTTAACACTTTGTAATAATTCTTTAGTATATTACTTGTGTGGTGTAGAAGATAATTATTTAAGAATGTAATTATGTAAGAATGTTAACACTGTCATAATTTTTTTAGTATAATACTTGTGTGGTGTAGAAGAGAATCATTTACGGCTTGCAAACCAATGATGGTAAGATGATGTCATGGGGTAGGACTGGATAAGTCTGACTTCTTCCGACTCCATTCAAGCATGTACTAGGTATAAGCAAATTGATATTGGATTATGTGTACAATCATGTGTGTTGTCATATCAACTGTCTTTACATGCTTGAAAGAAAAAATAAATCAAATCAAATCAAATCAAAAATTTTCATCCATTATATGTGTATAAAGCATAAGGCAGAATAAGAGCAGAAAAACGGGCAAGAAATAGTTGAAAAACTGACAGATCAGCTAAAGCGGGGAGTCACATGAATTCAGAGGGTACCTATTTAAGTCAATGGAGTGATTCAAAGTGAATGGAGAAATACACAAAATATAAATGTCAATTATAAAACAACGGTAAAAGATATCAAGAGGATCGTTGCACCATTGGTAGCTGAACACCTCACGAGTTGAATAGAGTTGAAACGGCATTTCTAGCCTAAGGTATGCCGAAGATATTAAGATTCAAATTTCCCATTCATTTCCAATGGGAAAATTTTTGTAAAAAAGCTGAATTTATTAAAAAGTATGAAAGGTATAAAAAAAAGTTGAGTACATGCCATAATGTCCTTAAAAAGGTTAACAATTTGATACCAGAATGGGTTGTCTAGCTGAAAGTATGTGGGAGGAGATGAGCGGTGAAAAACATACGGAAGAAACTATAATAAGATTTGGAAAACAAGAGTGTTGTCACTTTGCATTCACACTAATAAAAACAGAAAACAAGAGTGTGGCTGCACAGCATCCACACAATAATAAAAATGGAAAACAAGAGTGTGGTTGCATAGCATCCACACAATAAAGACCAGGAAAACATACTATGGATGCTGAATCAGCATCCACACAATAAATAAATAATTGGATAATAGTATGGATGCTGATTCAGCATCCATAATGTTATCCAATTATTTATTTGCTGAATCAGCATCCATACAATAACTAGAGTACATTGTATGGATGCTGAATCAGTATCCATACAATAATAATAAATACGATTTGGAAAACAAGGGTGTGGCTGCATAGCATCCACACAATAATAATGATAATAAATAAGATTTGGAAAGCAAGAGTGTAGCTGCATAGCATCCACACAATAAAGATTAGGATAACACACTGTGGATGCAGCATTACTGCCATCCATCCATCCATTTTCCTCCGCTTATCTGGAACCGGGTCGTGGGGGCAGCAGTCTAAGCAAAGATGCCCAGACTT